AACCAATATGGGAACCAATATGGGAACCAATATGGGAACCAATATGGCAGCTAATGGGAACCAATATGGGAACCAATAAGGGAACCAATATGGGAACCAATATGGCAGCCAATAGGAACCAATATGGGAACCAATATGGGAACCAATATGGGAACCAATATGGCAGCCAATAGGAACCAATATGGGAACCAATATGGGAACCAATATGGGAACCAATATGGAAGCCAATAGGAACCAATATGGGAACCAATATGGGAACCAATATGGGAACCAATATGGCAGCCAATGGGAACCAATATGGGAACCAATAAGGGAACCCATATGAGAACCAATATGGCATCCGATAGGAACCAATATGGGAACCAATATGGCAGGCAATGGGAACCAATATGGGAACCAATATGGCAGCCAATGGGAACCAATATGGGATCCAATATGGCAGCCAATGGGAACCAATATGGGAACCAATATGGGAACCAATATGGCAGCCAATAGGAACCAATATGGGAACCAATATGGCAGCCAATGGGAACCAATATGGCAGCCAATAGGAACCAATATGGGAACCGATATGGCAGCCAATGGGAACCAATATGGGAACCAATAGGGGAAACAATATGGGAACCAATATGGCAGCCAATAGGAACCAATATGGGAACCAATATGGGAACCAATATGGGAACCCATATGGGAACCACTATAGCGCCCAATGGGAACCAATATGGGAACCAATATGGGAACCAATATGGGAACCAATATGGCAGCCAATGGGAACCAAAATGGGAACCAATATGGGAATCAATATGGGAACCCATATGGGAACCACTATAGCGCCCAATGGGAACCAATATGGGAACCAATATGGGAACCAATATGGGAACCAATATGGGAACCAATATGGGAACCAAAATGGGAACCAATATGGGAATCAATATGGTGCCCAATGGGAACCAATATGGGAACCAATAAGGGAACCAAAATGGGAACCAATATGGGAACCAATATGGGAACCAATATGGGAACCAATATGGGAACCAATGGGAGACAATATGGGAACCAATATGGGAACCAATATGGGAACCAATATGGCAGCCAGTGGGAGCCAATATGGGAACCATTATGGCCCTTGGTGGGAACCAATAAGGGAACCAATGTGGGAATCAATATGGCGCCCAATGGGATCTCAGTAGGATTTCAGTGGGATCTCAATGGGATCTCATAGGATTTCTATGGGATCTCATAGGATTTCAATGGGATTTCAGTGGGATCTCATAGGATCTCTATGGGATCTCATAGGATTTCTATGGGATTTCAGTGGGATCTCATAGGATCTCTATGGGATCTCATAGGATTTCTATGGGATCTCAATGAGATTTCAGTGGGATCTCATAGGATCTCTATGGGATCTCATAGGATTTCTATGGGATCTCATAGGATTTCAATGGGATTTCAGTGGGATCTCATAGGATCTCATAGGATCTCAATGGGATCTCATAGGATTTCTCTGGGATCTCAATGGGATCTCATAGGATTTCTATGGGATCTCAATGGGATTTCAATGGGATTTCAGTGGGATCTCAATGGGATCTCATAGGATTTCTCTGGGATCTCAATGGGATTTCAATGGGATTTCTTTGGGATCTCAATGGGATCTCATAGGATTTCTCTGGGATCTCAATGGGATTTCAATGGGATTTCAGTGGGATCTCAATGGGATCTCATAGGATTTCTCTGGGATCTCGGTGCCCCCCGCCATCACCTCACACGCGGCCATGTGGAACGCGGCCGCCATTTCCCGGTCCCCGTTGCTGCCCTCCTCCCGCAGCACCGCCACGCGCGGCCCCACAGCGCCTGCGGGACAACACACATCCAGCGCCCCATAGATCCACTGCCCCACAGATCCACTGCCCCATAGATCCACTGCCCCACAGATCCACTGCCCCACACATCCAGCGCCCCATAGATCCACTGCCCCA